CTACTTCCGTAGTGATACTGCCTCAGAAACCCAAGGAGGGGTCACTATGAGTCGGGGCCGACTCGATGGCACATAACAACAACAACAACAGCCATCAAGTCAATTCCAACTCGTAGTGATCCCCATTGGATTGCCAAGGCTGTAAATCTTTATGGAAGTAGATTACTTCTTCTGCCTTCCATGGAGCAGCTGATGGATTTGTACCTTCTGGCTGGCAGCCAGTTCCCTTACCCACTGCACCACCAGAGCTCCTTAAATATATAAAACAAAGGTAGTCTATGAGTAGCCTATGGAAATCCAAATATTTAATTAGAGAGAATTCCTTTCCTGAGGATGCCAGATAATGGGGACTTGCTTCATTTTGAACCCTTGAGTTGATTCTTATACTCTGATTCTGATGCCTTCCATTCATCAAGCTGTAGACTTTTCTTCTGGAACAACCAATAGGCACTCAATGATGAATAAAATAATTTAAAAATTGAAATTGAGTGGGAAAAATCTGTCAACGCTTCTCAGTGTATTTCATGCAGCCTCATGTGAGTGCCTTTGACTTTTCAGGAAATGCTGGATATCATGAAAGCCATATACGACATGATGGGAAAATGTACATATCCTGTCCTCAAAGAAGATGCACCCAGACAACACGTGGAGACATTCTTCCAGGTAGGAACGAAGAGAGAAGTCAGGGAGGGAGTGAAATGAAGAGCAAATTCCCTGATGCTTACAAAAAATGATTCTCCAAAGAATATAAAGAAAATAATTTTCTTATTGTAAGGGTCAAAGATTAAAATATTTACCATCTTACTGATTTACTACTTTCTGAGCACTCACTATAGCCTAGACAGAACACTATCCAGCAGGACACATTGCATTTCACATATTAGGTTTTACATTGAGTTCTCCTAAAAACCCTACAAAATTATAAATCCTCATTTAGTTCCATTTTGCAGAGGAAGAAGACAATATTCTGAAAGTCTCAATATATTACCTGAGGTTTACAGCTAGAAGGCAGGACAGCCTCAAAGGAGCCATCCATGTCATTATCTCTAAGAGATGATTAGCCTGTGCTATGAAGCAATTCCTCCCCACAAAACAAGGCCAGCACCCAGGCTTTCTTTACATCGGCTTGCACTCCTTTGTTTCAGGTGTGAGGGTATCAAGGTACAAGTCTGAGTAAAATTTTACTTTTCTTCCTCAACAGAAAATGGACAAAAATAAAGATGGGGTGGTTACCATAGATGAGTTCATCGAAAGCTGCCAAAAAGTAAGTAGGATAGTGAAGGAACTCACCCTTTGCTTTCCTGACAGCTAGAGGACTCGGTAGTGTGTAAGTCAGCTCTGTCTCCAAACACAGAATGAACGTTACACCACCCTGCACCACGCCCAAGAGTGCTGCATCCTTGAGTCCATTTGGCAACCGTGTATTCCCAGTGCCTGCCAACCTAGGGGTCTCGTCTTCCAGCAGTGTATTGGACTATATTCTGGTGGGATGCATAGTTTCACTGGCTAATTTTTGGAGATACATCTCCAGGCTTTTCTTTCCTAATCTCTGTAAGCTCTGCTGGAGCCAGTCCACCATGTGTGAACCTTCTGGTATTTGACATAGTGGTGGCATAGCTTCCAGCAACACAGCAACATGAAAGCCACCACAATATGTCAATCTGACCTGAGTGCTATCATCGGTGCTCAGAGGGGTCTAGCAAAATATGAAGGTCCTACTCCCAGGCTTACCATTTATGCACAGCTGAGAGCTACTTGCCAGTGTGAAAACAAGCACTCATTCATAGACTGCATCAGCCAACATTTAGTTTCTACTCTGAGGCAGGCAATGCATGTAGAAGTTGCACATACCACTCTTCTTCCTCAAATCCTTTAGATAGTATTCACTGCTGCAGATAAAGCATGATACTTGTTCTTTTCCCAGAGTTAGCATATGACATGTATATTATCTGTATCTCCACAGGATTAGAAATCAAGAGAAATCTCAGTATTTTTAGTGCATGTGGACAAGAAATGACTTTTTGGCTGAATCCAATAGTGGCCTTCAGTAGCAAAGAATAGAGTGGAAAATTCTCTTATTCTCTTAGAGGAGAAATACAGGAGGTTTGCCCATCAAGGGGTGGGAGACAGTATTAGCTTATGAAGAATTATTTGATTTGACATGTAATTATTTAACCATGGGACAAGTTTGTTGGTGGTTCAACCTTCCTGATGCTCGCCTCAGTTTCTCAATTCATATTTCCCTATGGTGGTCTTTGGATAATTAACTGGGTGACATTAACCTCCTTACTGGCAATATTATTATTGTTTTCCAGCAGCAAAAGTCATTATTAGTTTGCCATCACTGACCGACTATAAACTACCAGGTGCCATTCATTCACATACAACTGCCAAGTACCTCTATAAGGCCCCATCTCTGTCCCCTTAAGTCTTTTCTAAGGAATAAACCAAGCTGGATAGCCAATGAGCAACTTGTTGGCTACTCCCAACAAATCCCTTTCCCAACATAAAGAAACCACTCATTTTCAAAAGACCCCATTACACCTAACAACAACAAAGTTTCCTCCAAAGGAAGTCTGGGCAATCTACTTCCACAGTGATGTTGCTGTTGTTGTTATGTGCCGTCGAGTCGGCCCCAACTCATAGCGACCCCTCCTTGGGTGTCCGAGGCAGTATCACTACAGAAGTAGGATTGCTCAACCTTCCTTCCGAGGAGTGGCTGGTGGGTTTGAACTGCCAGCCGTCTGGTTAGCAGTCAAGTGCTTTAGCCACTATGCTACCAGAGCTTCTCCCACAGTGATACTGCCTTAGAAACCCAAGGAGGGGTTGCTATGGGTCAGGGCCGACTTGAGGGCAGTGTGTTTTGGTTTTTCATTTTTTTTTGAAGACACGGAAAGAAAGGGGTGATTACAGCAAACATGTTCCTTCTCTCAAAGCCATCACCTTTCCTCCCTGCCCCAAGCTCCAATCCTCATGAAATTTGCTCAGAGCTGACACAAAGACCATTTCCTTCGGTTTTTTTTTATAATAAAAATAAAAAGTAAATTAAAAAAAACCTAATTTGGTCTCTGATCTACCTGGAAGGCCAGTGCTGGCATTTGCTCCCTCTAGTGTCCATTCTGGCATCATGATTTCAGAAATATTCTTTACTATCGCCAAGCCTCTGGTAGCATAGTGGCTAAGGCACTTGACTGCTAACCAGAAGGCTGGCAGTTCAAACCCACCAGCCACTCCTCGGAAGGGAGGTTGGGCAATCCTACTTCCGTAGTGATACTGCCTCGGAAACCCAAGGAGGGGTCGCTATGAGTCGGGTCCGACTCGACGGCACATAACAACAACAA